TTCATACACGTAGAGATACCTCACAGATTAAGCTTCCACGAGCCCACGCAACACGCACAGCACAGGCCGCATTGCGTGCCGTATCAAACACATGAAGCATCACGCAATGCATGCAAGTCACATCAACAGAAATAAAATATGAATGTAGAATTTTTTCATGCTAGTGAATCTAAAGTTCACTCGAAAGTTCGGAAGTCATATGTGGAGAAAAGTCGATTTTTGTGAAGCATTAAGAAAAAATTTGAGATCTTAAGCATCACTATATATAAAATCACGTGCGTTGATATTTCAGTCGCATTAATCACCATTTTCACGTAGTGCATCTACATCATATTTCATACAAAACTCTTGAAAGATAATCATACATAAAAAACCGGTAAGACCAAACCAATTTTTAACTGTAAAAATTGGTAAAATATATAAAAATTTAATGTGATATGTAAAATATTTTTATGAAATACACATGCAAAACATCTCTGGCTTGGTTTTTTTCTCATCCTACAGCCGCTAATTCCTGGTATTTACACCTAAATTTGAGGTCGCAGCTTCTGTCAGTTCTTTTAACATGGTATTTTCAAACTATCAAAGTTGAATTTGTAAAGAAATATTAACAAATGCAAAATGACAAAGGCATGAAGCTTGAGGTGCGGAGAAAAATAACCTCGTATAAAATTTCGTTTTTATATGGGTTCTGGAATATTCACTCATAAAAGAGAAATACAACTTGAACTACTTTTCGAACTCAAATTCAACCAAACGAAGGTTGAAGGATCCATTAGGAAAATCGTTAATTTATAAAAGCGCCAGCTGAAACTAATACGTTATCATATTAGTACACTTGAAAACATGGCTGAATTCTGAATTTTCATTATATTAATAATTCTAAGGATATTATTACCGTATATATTTGCTACATTCGTTTGCGGGCGCTATCTACAAATTTATGTATTGTCTTAAATCCACGTAAAAGAGTCAAAGAAACTGAAATGCGAAAAAAGTATGTTGTAGGAATCTTTTAGAATTTGAAATTGATTCCAAATTTATTTTAGTTTGCTCAATGGAATTTGCAAGAAATTCATTACTGAGTTTTTTTAATATTGTGTTGAAAGCCGCGCACAAGAGGGCACATGGCATTGCAAATACACGGGCACCTGAAGTACTAATTGTATATTCACTTAGGGCAATGAAAGGGCCATAATGTCTAAATAATGTAACATCCTGCATCTATCACTGATATTCCCTTTAACAGGACCAAACTCGTTCAATACTGGTGAGAATTACATCGTTATTTGAACAAAGTTTCATTAATTTCTCTGAGTATAGATTAGATCTACCGTGATTCGGCAGAAAATTAATCTGCTAGACCGAGGTTCTGATCGACTACTTTTCCGTTACAAATGTCACTGCTTTTCTAATTTACTCGTAAATGCGTTCTTCTCAATAACTTTGGCAATTAAATTCAGATATTTACGCAAACCGAACATTGTTCAACAGTCGTCATCATTCGAGGATAACATATAATTACCCTAATACTATCGTTCAAGTGAACAGCGGTATTCTCGGAATAATTATAGGTCGCAAAATTTATTGCTTAATGGCTTTTGTTTGCTGAGAATTTTCGAGAGGCTTCCTGTGATGACCAAGGGGAAGAAATTTCCCATAACGTCATTGGTTGGTTGCTATGCGTGATAATTACCAGTGAGTCATTTATTTTTTCGAATTTGTCGTCTTGTAGTCCGTGATTCTATGACAGTAAGATAAGTGTAAATGTAAATTCATTTCTGTAAAAGTCAGCATTATCACGGAGAAACACTAGTCCACCAAGTTATCTAGTCTTTTAATTAGTTTTTTATCACCTATAATAATCCATAAAAAATATTTTTCATTCTCCGTACCTCGAAAAGTCTCACGTCTAGGAAGCTTTTAGTAAAATTACTTAGAAAAATAAATCCCACTAGACATTTGCACATTTTTAGGCAGGTATTTTTGACCCACGTCTATAAGTAGCTCACCTGTGTACCAAGTGCCGCTCCCAGGTATTTAAGGCAGTGGCCCCTGAGCCGCCAGATCACTGCTGCCTTTGCTTCCGTAGAGGTAAGGCTACACAGAGCCTCGGCTGCTGCGAGACTGTCACGTGCTCGGAGAATCATAGCGCGCTTTGTCATTTGATAAAATAGATCGCTTTTTATATCAATATCCTGGATTTTCCCAAAAAGTGTTCGTTCTAATTTTAAAACACAATATTTGTAATCACTTTTTTTAGAACTGAGCATTATTATTTACACGCAGTATGGCATTTGAAAAAGTACAGTCTAATTTTACTAACTTAAAGCGAGTAAAATATAACCTGTTACGGTTAATCCAATTAAATTTAACTCAGGCTTGAGGAGAGTTCTCTCTAACGTATGTTAGTGTGAGGATGAGTTTTTTCCTGAAAATTCTAAACAATGAACATGTAGAACTTCCGACATGATGCGCAGTGCTATCGATACCTCCTCTGCCTGGTGTCACAGCCAAGTTCTTTTTAGCGCATTTTCTCATTTATGGAAAAAATGCACTATTGTGCTCGCCATGTCCGTCTAGGAGGAGATGGTGAGCATGATGTGCTATAGTGAAGCGAGTAGGGAGAAAGGAGAGCCTAGCATCACAGGAGATGGTGAGCATGAGGCGCTATAGTAAAGTAAGTAGGGAGAAAAAAGAGCCTATCATCGCAGTTTGCATAAACGACTTAATAGGTTAGCGACCATTTATCCCCGAATAAAACCTGACCATTTAACTTGATTGACAGAGCGCTCCCACTTTTTATTTCACCGTCGTTAGTAAAGTTTGGAAACTGTTCTCTCCTTGAAACCTAGAGCGAGTGTCACGATGGAATATACTTTTTTGGAGTATATAATTGCTTCCGATTTTTGGAATACTATTCAGAACCTGGGTGCTCATCTTTATTGATCAACACGAAGCTATATATTACTTAAGTAAAAAAGTCACTAGATTGCTTTAATCGCAGATTCACTAGAAATTTAAAAGCGAAGAAAACACCACAAAAATTCAGCATATCTCTATTGGAAACGTTTCGGAGACCAGCTCCATCGCCAGTTCGATAAATCTAGAACACAGATTAAGGTAGAAAATTAGTTTGTAGTTAATAAAAAAACACAGAAGTTTAAAACCTAAATTTACAGACAAAGGGCAGAATAATAAATTAAGTACCTATCTAATAAAAGTATATATTCACAATTTCTAATGGATAAGAACTATAGGCAGCATTTAAACTAGGCTTCTCTTTAAAAATATACAATGATTCCAAAATACGCAGATCGGAAGCACCAGAACTATAAGCTAAAATCTTAAAGTCTGTGTCGGACACTGGAACGTTGCACTGTTCGGCGTGAGTGCGCACAGCCGAATGAGGAGGGCGCGATAGTAACTGCCCAGTCCTATAACTCCTCCCTCTATGCTCAGCGACCCGAGTGTAAAAGTTGCGTGCCGTCATTCCGACATACGCAGATGCACATCGTGCACAACTAAATTTATAAACTAGGGACGATCGCATATGAGGAGGAAGGATATCTTTGTACCTAAAAAACGAACCTATTTTGAAATTATTCACCAGTAAGATACGAAGATTAATGTCCGGGAAGTATTTCATAAACAAAACTTTTAATTCTCTTGATATAACTTCGGACGCATGGCCGAAGTATGGAAGAGAACAGTAAGCAATGTTTCTACTGTCAGGCACTGGAACAACTTTACTGTATCGCTTAGACGTGGATTTTTTTAATCTGGGTAAACACCAAGCCAGAAGGAAATCCATTAAGCGAGAAGATATCTTCTCGCTTAATGGATTTCCTTCTGGCTTAATGGATTTCCTTATTGGATTTCCTTTGTAACTCGAGGTTATGAATACTCAATTCTGGAGTTCTAAGTTTTTCTTTTACTAAATATTCAAGCGCCAACTGGACTCAGGATCTTACCATCAGTTTTAATAATTAATTTAAAATTTTCTTCAATGTGCAATTTTGATTTTTTCACTTCATCATCGAGCGCCAACTGCAATTTAATAATATTCTCATTAAATTGCTTCAGTTGTTTTTATACAATATGCAATTCAAAATCTTGACTTTTATCATCGAGCGCTAACTTCAATCTATTTATTTTCTCATCAAATTGTTTACTTAGTTCTTCTTCAATATGCAATTCGAAATTCTTAACTTTATCGTGGAGAGTTGACTGCAAACTGCTAATTTTCTCATCAAATTGTATTATTAGTGTTTCTTCAATAGAATCGATCTTGGACTGTAAAATTTTATGTTATTAAGTGTANTTAAACCCTAATCAGTATTACAAAATTCACTTTGTAAGTCTGCTCTCATGGCTGTAATAATTAGATTGAAGGTGGAATACTCATTTAGGAGAGTTTCACTTGAAGTTTACAGAGACTCTAAAGGAAATATTTCAATTGGACCCGTTATTTCTTCCTCCCCATCTTTGCAAGTTGTTGAGAGAATAAAATTGTTTTCATAGATATTAACGCTCGCCATTTCATAAAGAAAAACAAAACAACGAAATTTTGATACCCATATGCTTATAAAGATTTACGATAAGGTTTATAAGATTATATAAATCGCTCAAACAGATGTGTTGCGTGCCTACTCGCATTTACGATTCAAATCCGTGCATATTACGTCGAATGTTCCGTGTGATAACATTCCATTCTTTTCTCGCATATTCAAGTTCATCATGTGACATTGATAGCAGCTTTGTATATATGCAATATATGTGGAGCTGTCATTGTCACCCCGGTTCTGGAAAGTATTTCAAATTTTTAAATTATAAAAAATATTCCAAAGAGATATCTTCCATCGTCATACTCGCTCTCGGTTTTTAGTAACGAAGTTTTCAAACTTTACTACCGACGGTGATTCGAAAATATTGGGAACGATCGGTCAATCGGGGGTAAATGGTTAGGTTTTATCGGGGTAAACAGCCTAGTTTCGATCATGGGTATACAGTCGTTGTCCTCTCAAGTCGTTTATGCAAGCTGTGGTGATAGGCTCTCTTTTCTGACTACTATACTTCCAGTTTGTGGATGGAAAGATTTGTTATTTGAATATATGATGTATAAATTCCGGGGCAGGTCAGAAGCTGGTCAAAATAATATGTCCAATGAATAATTTTTTTAATTCTAATTAAATGTCAATTAAGCCGTACAGCACATCAATGCAAGATTGTTGTTAAATGTATGTAAATCTATCGCATCTCTAAAATATACGTTAAATCAAGTGGAAAGTTTCTTCTTTCTTGACCAGGCGCTGGAGACGCATATCAATGCGCCTCAAACTCCCTATTTGGGCCCCTCCAAGCCGAGCCTCCCCACTCGACCACAGCTTCGTCTCCGAACCAAAAAAGACCCAGTGGGCGTTACGGAGAAGCTGTCACGACGTTTTCTGATAACAAATCTAATAAACGTCGGAGTTATGCAACGCTCGTTTACCAAGCTCCTTCTGTCCAGAACGTAGATTCTGGAAACAGAGTGAGTGTTTGAACTAGTTTTATGAATGAATTTTAACGAGTTTTGAATGTTATGCAACGTGTTGTGTTGCAAGGGTTGCAGAGTTTACCCAGCAGGCATTCGGTGGTTGAATCAACTACGCATTACGACATTGAGATCGGGGTGAAAGGAGGTTTAGAATGAAAAATGAGGAAACATCTTTCATGCAACGTCGTACTGACGTTACAATTCAACGTTGAATCAATGTTGCTACTACGACGTTGCTGCAACGTTGAATTTTATGGTTGAATCGACGTTTAATCAAATACACATTACGACTGTCTCTTATACACATCTAGATGTGTATAAGAGACAGCTAGAAGGCGACTGCGTTCCTCGTCGAAGGCTGACCTCGTCGTCCCGTCCTCACGTCTGTCCACAGTCGGCGACAGAGCGTTCCCGGTCGCTGCGGCCAGAACATGGAATGGTCTGCCAGCATCGGTGACATCTGCTTCTTCGCTGCCGTTGTTTCGTCGACGCCTAAAAACAGAACTTTTCCGTAGAGCCTTTGAATCTTAGACCTAGCCGTCATCTAATCTATTATGTATATTACTGGTTTAGCATAGGTGTTGTTTGTTCTAGCATAGACGTCGTCAGTCTTGGCATATGTCCTTTGTTTTAGCATAGACGTCATCTGTTTTTATCCTCTCGTGTCTTTTTTAGCCACTTGTAACGTGCCCTCGAAGTTCGATCCGAACGAGACGCCACGACAATCTCTTCGTGGAATAATAATAATAATAATTGGGCTTCAAATTGTAGTATTCTTTATTCTATCTAGTGCCGCAGCTGTACGTGGGTTCACCCCAAAGCCCAACTATAGGCCCATGCATCAACGTGATCATTTGGCTCATGATCGTCCTTCAGACGAAATCATTAACGATGTTCCGAGAGAAATTCAAAGTCCAATGTAATCAGGATTTGATGTTTCAAGTTTCGAGCTCTAAACTTTCCTGGAAATAAAAACACGAAAAATAATCAACCAAATGTTAAAATAATTGACTGGTGACCAACAATGATAAGATATATTAACTAAATTCCGTAAACGTAAATAAATTGAACCGATTATCAATAGTACTGTATATACAGATTACAAACACCGGTCACACATTAACAGCCTAATAGAAAACACAGGACACGTTACCTCTGTCACGGCACCGCACCAGACAATAGATGACCTAGCGTTCCTATAGTGCAAACGTGAACGTATAGTCGACTCTGTCTAAACTAAAAATCACGGAATTAAAATTCATTTTATCACAACCCTATCACCGCTTTGAAAAGCTATGCCAGCATTTTAGGGATGAGATGCACTCAAATGGAAAACATTGACCAATGATTGATTGATTGGATGATTTTTAAGACCAGTAGATAATTTTTTAACGCTAATTCAATATGAACTACAAGATGCATGTTAATTACGAACAAACATTACATGATATGATACTTGAACGTTATACAGTAGGAGCAAAACGTTACCGTAGGAGCAATAATTGATTTCAGTGCTATTTAGCTTTATGAACCATGATTGTTTGATTTCTTTCACACGGAACAAATGCTTTCAATAATGAAATAATAGTTCTCTTATTCAGGCGTCACGTCCTCAATTACCTTTACTTTATTCACAGTGTCAAATTATTTGATCCTGTTTTCCCTGATGCAATTAAGCATTAGTAGCTCTCGTGGTTGTCAATTGATTGAGTTGTCACATTTCCTGATGTTTTTTCAACGTTTTATGTTCCTAAAACAAGTCTTTTTCCGAACACTTCTTAATTACAATGACCTCACGTTCTTTATTACCGTTTTCTATTATGAGTTCTTCACTGCAACAATAGCTCTCTAATTCCTTACTCATGGATGAGAAATGGGCAGGAACTTATCCCGTTTTGAACTATTCAAACTCCATTCTCAAATTCCGTTTATATTATGTTACATACAAATTCTGGAGTTAATCACTTTCTCTAACTCAGTTTTCTGCGAATCCAAGTTCGCATTTTTTAATTATATGCCCACGATTCAATTCACATTTTTTTTATTCAACATCAAAAGACGTTAAATCAAATCAAATGTACTTGCCAGAACGATAAATGTATTGCAAGCTAACTGTTAAATTATAAGAGATAAACATTGGTGTATGGAATAAAAAAGTTTGTATATGTATACTATATAGTTCACTCTACCCAACGCACATGTAATCGTTCTTTCCTAGGTCTATGATTTATCTCATGTTGTAATGAGTTTAATATATAATTCATAGTGGTGTTAGTTTTGATTTGTCACTTTTTGGCTATTTTCGCCTGCAGCCAATTCTTAAACAACAGGCTACCTCGGCAATATCAAGATATTTGCAACCTGATGCGAGTGAAAACTCTAACTCACTACTCGCTCTAATCTACGTGATCTTATCCACTAGTATCTCCCCGAGCGCAGTATTCGGGTTCTATTGTTTTAAACGCGCTCAATTTATATAAAGTTTTCCTCTTACAGGTCATAGACTGCAGCGAGAGAGATACATTTGAGAAGAGCAAAGTGCTGCAGTGCCACGCTGTAGCTACAGGTCTTTATCACGAAGAATCCGTGTTACTAAATGGCGACAACACTACATTCCACGCACCGAAAAGCAGAGCGTTCATACACGTAGAAATACCTGACAGATTAAGCTTCCACGAGCCCACGCAACACGCACAGCACGGGCCGCATTGCGTGACGTATCAAACCCAAGAATCATCACGCAATTCATGCAAGTCACATCAACAGAAACAAAATATGAATGTAGATATTTTTCCTGCTAGTGAATCTAAAGTTCACTCGAAAGTTCGGAAGTCAGATGCGGAGAAAAGTCGATTTTTGTGAAGCATTAAGAAAAAATTTGAGATCTTAAGCATCACTATATATAAAATCACGTGCGTTGATATTTCAGTCGCATTAATCACCATTTTCACGTAGTGCATCTACATCATATTTCATACAAAACTCTTGAAAGATAATCATACATAAAAAACCGGTAAGACCAAACCAATTTTTAACTGTAAAAATTGGTAAAATATATAAAAATTTAATGTGATATGTAAAATATTTTTATGAAATACACATGCAAAACATCTCTGGCTTGGTTTTTTTCTCATCCTACAGCCGCTAATTCCTGGTATTTACACCTAAATTTGAGGTCGCAGCTTCTGTCAGTTCTTTTAACATGGTATTTTCAAACTATCAAAGTTGAATTTGTAAAGAAATATTAACAAATGCAAAATGACAAAGGCATGAAGCTTGAGGTGCGGAGAAAAATAACCTCGTATAAAATTTCGTTTTTATATGGGTTCTGGAATATTCACTCATAAAAGAGAAATACAACTTGAACTACTTTTCGAACTCAAATTCAACCAAACGAAGGTTGAAGGATCCATTAGGAAAATCGTTAATTTATATAAGCGCCAGCTGAAACTAATACGTTATCATATTAGTACACTTGAAAACATGTTTTTAATATTGTGTTGAAAGCCGCACACAAGAGGGCACATGACATTACAAATACACGGGCACCTGAAGTACTATAATTGTATATTCACTTAGGGCAATGAAAGAGCCATAATGTCTATATAGTGAAACTTCATGCATCTACCACTGATATGCCCTTTAACAGGACCAAACAGGTTCAATACTGGTGAAAATTACGTCGTTATTTGAACAAAGTTTCATTACTTTCTCTGAGTATAGATTAGGTCCACCGTATTTCGGCTGAAAAATAATCTGCTACACCGAGGTTCAGATCGACTACTTTTCGGTAACAAAAGTCACTGCTGTTCTAATTTACTCGTAAGGCGTTCTTCTCAATTTCTTTGGCAATTACAATTCAGATATTTACGCAAATCAAACATTGTTCAATAGTCATCATCATTCGGGGATACCAAATAATTACCGTTATACTATCGTTTAAGTGACCAGAGGTGTTATTGGAACAATTATAGGTCGCAAAATTTAGTCGTAAAAGGCCTTTGTTCGCTGAGAATTTTCAATAGCCTCTCTTTGATGACCAAGGCGAAAAATTTCCCATAACATCGTTGGTTGGTTTCCCCGTGCCATCTCGTCCTTGTCGTGGGGAGGGGGGGCTTGCGTGTCTCGATGAGACCCGAGGCTGCTCAGATGCAATCATGGCCGGGTGGCTCGGGTGGAGAGTCCAGACTAAGAGAGATGGCAAAACGCCCTTTTTGGAAACGGCCTGGCTCTCAAATGGACACGCGATGACCCTTCTTTGGATTGGCGAACCCTGGCGAGGACTTAGACCCGACCCGCCAGCTTTAATAGTCACTAACGGCGAGGGTTAGCTGAGGGACTCCTGGGCGGGCGGGGGGCTGTTTAAACGCCGCGCGGATGGAGTGGCGCCCGTCTTGCATCGCTAGTCAAGCGCATAACCCGCTGGGCCCTGGACAACCGGGGCTATATCTGAGCGTAAGAGTGGTCCCGTCGGGACTGCGTGTGCCCGACAGTAGGGATCCCCTTGTAGGAGGCCATTGGGTGCCTGCTCAGCGTATCGGACGAAAACGAACTTTATGAGAACTGAAATGAACTCTCCCAATGATGCGCCTCCTGTAACTATCTCTCCTACAACGACCCAGCTCTCCACCATGGAACCTATCGCGACCTCTCAAATATCTGGGTACCTAGATCGCTGAGACTAAGCTCGGGCACGCCGAATTCGAATGTATGCAGCTGAAATGCTCGCAAAAAAATTGTGGGTAGAAAGATCAAGAGAAATTTTCAAGTTTATGGCCCGGCTCCACAAACAATTGGCACATAACACGTATACTTTGGAAGGAATGCCTGCTACTTTTACCCTATATGGACCGAAGTAATCGATAAATATGTACCGAAAAGGCACGTTCGGCGGATCTACCCTAAAATCACGCTAGAGGCTCTGATTCTAGCTGAAGGCACTGTACGAACCTGCGTGATTGAGGCGCTAATTTACGTTTCTAACAATTTTCTTTAGAGAAGGAAAGAGTTTCACTCTGATTGGAGAATGCACTATTCTTAAGGTTTGTTTACACAAGGGCAACACACGGGCGTCAAGGACTCAAGCGCATCACCGCACATCTGTGCAGCCTCTACGTGCTCTTCGTGTGGGCAACGAAACGATTGGCGAGCTAGTGATCCGCAGTCGCCCTGCCTCCTGTAACACAAGCGCAAGCGCTCAGCAGTGTTGCTAGATGGTATATTTCCATACCAGATTTCACAAATCTGGTATTTTCAGGTGTCTGCATGGTATGTATTTCAAATCTGGTATATTTGCCTAAATCTGGTATTTTTCTGGTATTTTCTGACTTACTTCAAATTTACTGCATCAAGTTCCACCACTGAAGTTTGAACTTCCTCCAGCGTAGGCGTAGATTATATAGATTGCCTTCAGAGCGGCGCGACTAGAGGTTTCCCGGCATTTTTGGAACCGCAAGTTTACCGCTTGATGAAATAATCCCAATCTAATTGTTAACATTTAACAAAAGTGCTTAGTGCAATATAATCACGAGAGTAATGATCTTTGATTGATAACTGATCAGTTATGATATGGCCTAGGAAGAGTGAGTTTGTCGAACCGATCTCTGCGACGCAAGCTCCACCGTTTCTGTTTGGTGGTTTTGAATTCTGGGGGTCATTCAATATTTAACTGATCTTGAAAATCATCATCCATTCATGGAACTGCTGCTACTGCATCACTTGTCTACTTTGACCTGTCTCCAATGCATTCGTGGAGCGAGTGTTTTCACAAGTCACCTATGTGAAAAACGAGCAACGAAATAAAATTTCAACTAAGGTACTGGAGTCCCTTATTCGGACCAAAAGCTATCTGCTCAGCCACAACAAGTGATCAAACCCAAAATGTTAAATTAATGCAATATGCAAGCATGTACGAAAATAAGCAAAACGAAGATACCTGTTTCCGTGACTTGCTCATGTTGAGCGAAGAGGAAGGAGTGCCACACTGTGTTGAAAAAAGAAAAAGTGTCAATGTAATCAAACACAGGAAAAGAAAAGTGTCAAAATATTGTTTTTTTGACACTTTTTGAACAATAAAATTTCTGCTATATATTTCTGGTATTTTGAGCTAAGCAATCTGGTATTCTAGCAAAGAAAAAAACTGGCAACACTGGACTCGACTCAGGTCGAAAGTGCCCACTGCCCAGTACCGGCCCGGCTGTCTTAATAGCTGTGTCGCTCTCTCTTGCCCACTGTAGCACGCACCACTCGCTTGCCTCCACCGTGCACACACCTTACATGACAACTCCCAATTTCGCACTGGTGCTGACGTACTGTACTGAAAACACTCCCCTCGTGTATAGGCTATCAGCCTGCAAAACTGCAGTCGACTCAGCTATCCGCCCCGTGTTAAAGCACCTTTATACACAAGGGAAGTTTTCTTCAACAGTATTTTCTCATCTACAAATTCCTGTATGTCGTTAGAAACCGTCGAGTGAAGTTTGGGCGCGGTGGAATATGGAACGTGGCGGTAATGGCGAGTTTGAAGAGGCTTTCAATTAAGTAGTTGATGGTATTGTTACAACTCAGCAAAGGAGGTGAAATACTTTGTAGATCAGCATAGAGTGTGGGTGAGGGACCTAATAAGGTCTCTATTAAGTTTCAAAACACTGCCTTCTCAATTATTTTTTGTTGGAATATTCATTGTGACGTACATTCCACAGTAGATCGTAATTTTGGAATATCTATAACAGTTCAATATCATTTGAACACCTCTTAACGTACTTAGAACCGTCGTTGTTGGGACAAGACATAGTTTATAACATTAGAAACACTTGCTCCAAGCAGGATACGGAGCGGCACATAAATGCACACCACGGCTGCTGCAGTCATACTGCTATTACTTGACAGTTGACGGTCTTGACCGTCTTGACGTTGATGGCACTTTAACAACTTCAACTGCTTGACTTTTTCATATGCAATTGCATCAGCCATGGTTGAACTAATATAGTATTAGTTCAACCATGGCATCAACCACTTGCATCTGAAAAATAAATCTAATCAGCTAATACTAGCCTCGTGTATAAGCAAGCACCTTAAAGTCTTTAAACACTAGGAGCAATTTTCCCATCAATATCTTTGTAATAATAGCCCACAAACAATTTACATGGGAAGAGTCTCGTGAAGACCATTAAGTCTTGTCGGAATTTGCACGTCAATGTGCGTATTAAGTAGCAAAAGATCACCTCCCTCTTGCCGTGTTTAATTTCCCTGGTGACACATCTGCAAAAATCCAAAATCCTCAGACGCTGGCACGGCATGGGACGACCTCGAGCGCTCCAGACCCGCCACGCTGCTGCCAAGTCCCTGGAACGAAGTGCGCATCGTCCTTCCAGTTTGTCTCTCGTTGCTGGTGCTTGTCGCTGCCGGCGTCAAGGTTTTTCTCTGCATTAGAAAACGTTGGTTTATACAATATATTTATTGAAAAGGCATTTTGCTCAAGCTCATTCAGTATATATATATATATATATTTATTTTCAGGGTTCGTACCGGTCATGGAAAACCTGGAAAGTCGTGGAATTTGATTTTTCTTTTTCCAGGGCTGGAACGTCATTGGATTTCATTTCAGGTTATGGAAAGTCATGAAATTTGCACATAAAAGTAGAAAAAAGGAAGCGTTTTTCTGTGTTTCGTGTGTTTATTGTCTGCGCAGTCTCTTGTTTCCTGCGTTCTGATTGGAGAACCAAACACGTGAGCTCGGTCATCGAGCTCAGTTGCATTCGACAACTTTTTGATGTGCAGTGGCAGCGTTCCATCTTCAGCGTGCAATTTCTACCTCACCATGCCTGGAAAATGTAAATTTCATGACTTGTGGTTAAGAATTGAAGCTTATCGTATCTGGCTTGCTCGCCATCCAAAGCACGACGGTATGGCGATATGTACATTGTGCTCGAAAGAACTCGATGTGTCAAATGTGGGTAAGCTGCTTGGAGAGCCATGCCAAAGAAAGAGTGTTCTGAACTGTATTGAAGATACATTATCATGTACAA